ACTGGAAATGTAAGCTTCAAGACAGAATGTCATTGTCAAAGTGCTGAGAGAAGTGGATAGCCGAGAATTATGTTCCCATGCTTTTGAGGATAAAGTAATAAAAACAGACTTTATAAAATGAACTACTACCAGAGGGAGAAATACAATCCTGGCAGGAAGGGCTGAGGTTCAGATAAAACTATGGGGCAAATAAATCAATGAACATGTATAGAAAATATAACCATCTATACTTTATGATATAGGAGGAGAGAACAGAGCCAAAATAGTGGACATCAAGAGACATAAATCAGGAAGGTATCATAAGGGTGAATGTGTTCTAAAGCCCTTTAAACTGTGTATTTATTTTTGTTTGTTTATGTGTATACGTGTGCAATAACAAAGATTTATATAAGTGTATGTATGTGTGTGTTGTCTATAAACATGTGCATGTAAGCATAGCTCACTTGACTACAGAGGCTAGACTCCTTTGAGTTAGTTACCTGATGTGGGTGGTAGGAACGAAATTTGGACCTCTGTAAGAACACTGAGATCTCTTAACCTCTCCGCCATCGCTTCAGCTCTTATGCGAGAATATTAACTGCATTCTAATTCTTAGTGCAATGGTGAGTTCTCTGGGGTTATTATATTAGGAAGTTTGGTAATATATGTATGGATATAGGTATATGGATGATAGTCATATTGAAATTTTATATTAAGCTTCATAATATAATATTCACAAATATGTTGTATATCTTATGTATGATAATAACATAAAGGTGGGAGTATTAGAAATGTTAGGATATTCATCAAATTCTCAATGAACTAGTGCCTTCAGTTGCTGGATTTGGTGGTAATTGAGAATGTCTGTTTCTTCTTCTCTTGGATCGCCATCTGCTGGAGAACTACTTCATATCTTTAGACAAGTTTAAGTTTTTCTGGTCTGGCTTTTAAGTTTCACATGCAATTTCACGCTCAACTTAAGAATGAACTGGTTATAAAAATGGGACTATTCCTAGGACTTTAGTTATTCTCATGTGGGGAAACCATTTTAGAGAATCGCTTTTAATTACAACAACTTTATTCAATTTAAGAGTATATGTGGGTGCGTGTGCATGCATGCCTGCACCTGAGTGTGAGTATGTGCATGCCGTGGTGTGTGTTGGAGGTGGCAGTCAGAGAACAACTTATGGGAGCCTGTTCTCTCCCTTCCTGCCTGGGTTTTAGGGATTTATCTCAGGTCATCAGGTGTGTGTGGTAAGTGTTTTTACCCACTGAGTCATCTTTGCTGGCCCCTTAATTTTGGATTAAAAAAAATATCTACTGAAATAGGGTTCCCAGATACTGAAAAACACTTCTTTATTCAAAAGATGTTCCCATTATTCAGAGGGACATGAGAGAGACTAACACAACTCAGCTCAAGGAAGTTCCCTTCTTCATAGTAGCCATCTGCCTTCCCATGTGTGTTGTTACCTTAGATCCTGTTTGCAACTTAGAAAGGGAAGGGAAAGTCACTGACAAGAGATCTCTGCTTCATAAGACTAATGAGCAAATAGGCCAAAGGTGAGGATTCATATGAAAAGTGGCTGCTCTAAGAAGGCAGACGGAATAGGAGAGGAGCTGTCCAGAGTCAGGCAGACATGACATGCTCAGGACACAAGTGTCTGTTCTGGAAACTTTCTTCATGCTGGGATGACATATCTGCAAAGGTTCTTCATTCCTGTGATGCATTAATGACAGCCCAGGGATGCTTGTTATGTGGTAGTCTTTTGGATATGAGGAAACAAAATAGAAGTGTCCACACTGGAAATTCTGGGTCAGCCTTTGCTGGGATCTGCCTCTGAGAAGGTTGGTGAAATTTGTTCCTATCTGGTCCTGAGCAAAATTAAAGTTTGGTTTTGTTTACCACAGACCGGTGATGTGTATGTAATTAATAAGAAAAGCAAGCTCTAACCTAGAGGGCAGCAGTTCTGGGTTTCAGCAAACTCATTTTAGGCTCTGCTGTGATATTAATTGAGCATCCAAAGTGGTTATTAAGGGAGCAGCCTGTAAGTAAATCAGCCTGTAAATTTCTTCCCTGTCCAGCCAGCAATGTGAATTAATGGGATAAGGTTTAAATCCTTAGAAGAACAAAGAACTGGTGTGGGCTGTGTAGCAGCTGCTAAGACATTGTATTAGAAAGAGGCCAGACAGAGGAAATTGGCTTAGAGAGGGTGCTGCCTAGACGCTTATTTCTCCCCGTCTCTCTGGTCATGTGTAACAAGAAGTTTCATTTTTTCAAATCTGAACATATCACTTAATGGCACCAAGCATTGTTCAGCCAACTGGCATTGTTACCTAACACTGCTACACTAGTTTTAGCGTTCTTTTCCATCCTTCCTTCCTTACCCCTTTACTTCCTCCTCCCTCCCTCCCTCTCTTCCTCCCTTTCTTCCTCTTCTCCCTTCTTCCCTTTCTCCCTCTCTTCTCACTCCCTTTCTTCCTTAAGAGACAGGGTTTCATATAACCAATGGTAACTTCTAATTCCCTGTGTAGTTAAGGATGACCTTGAACTTCTGAAACTCCTGCCTTCATCTATCCAGAGTTGACATTACAAGCATGTGCTGCCACACTAGGTTTATGTGATGCTGGAAATGAAGCTAGGACTTCATGCATGGCATACAACACCACTCCATGGACTGAGATACTTCCAGACCTGAGAGTTTTCACTTTTAGCTATTATAGTTCATTTAAGTCATAGCAAACTAAAAGAAGAAAGGACAGAGTCCCTGTTGCTGTCTGTCACAAATTTCCATATTTTGACCTTTCCTGAAATTGCAGCTTTTGCATGTGGATGCCATTGGCATGGCCATCATAGGATGTATCTCAAATCACATTCTTAAGTTTGAATATTGTCTTTGCATTCCCATTGATGGTGTGGGAATCTCTCTACCTCTTGTGTCTCAGATAATAATAATCACCAAGACTCTACCTCCAAATGCAGTTCTTAAAAGATCTGCATCATATCTACTTTCAGACACCGTTGCTCATTCCCTAAGTTCCAAGAAGACCCTCCTTATGGGTTTTCTTCTCTGTGTGTTCAGTTGAGGTCATCCTCTGCCTTATAGCCTGAGTCACTTTGAAAAGCTATAAGTCTGATTAGCTCCTATCTTTTCTGATATCCTTAGTGTCCTCTCACCCCATACCCAGTCCTCACTGACCTCTTTGCTAGTTTCTGAACACCACCTATGCACATCTTCACTGAGGCTCTTGGTATTAACTAGTTCCTCTTCTGGGCTTGCTCTTCCAGTAAGTAATGATCTCAGTTACACAAGAGAGTTTCTTATCTTGGTACTCAATTCTTGTTATGAGAAAAGCTTCCCTCCATTTCACCATTTGCAAAAACAGCATCTAGCATTTTCTACCTTCTTGACAGTGTTCATCAGAGTGTAGTCCCTATGCCTGCTGCTGTATCCATGTTTGCTCTATGTCTTCTTGAGGGGGAGAACAGTTTCTTGGCACGAGAACCTGTATCTCTGGTGCACAAGAACAGCTTGCATCAGGTCTTCCATAAGAATCTGTTAAAATCTGATAACAGTTACATGTACTTAATCCTAAAAATTTAAGGCTCATATAAGAACAAAGGAGAAAAAATATCTTTCATGGTTCCCGGACTTCAGTTCATCACCTTGCACACACTAGGCATGTGGTCTTCCACTGCGCTGCATACTAGCTTTACAAGCTAGAAAACCATTAAATGCCAAAAGACAAGGGGTATTGTACATAGTTGTCTGAAAGTTAGAAAAGTTACAACAAAGAATTATGGGTGGCCTTAATTGTATGTTCTCTTGTCTTCTCTATTGTTGAGTTTATATCTCAGGAGAGACACAAGAAAAGCCTTAGGTTGTTTTGTCATCAGTCATTGACTTTTTTGGCTTATCCACACTGAGTAGGGGATATGGATATTCCTGAAAAACTAAAATCAGTGAAACCAATTACATTAGGACTCTTAGGTCCCTTACCACTCCAACTGAAGCAACGAGGAGGCTCAGTTGTAAAAATTAACTCTTAACAATGCTAGTGATGTTTTCCAATAGATGATAGATGTCCTTGATGAATATCACATTTCACAATTTCATTTAGCACTGGGATTTAAAATATTGGTGCAATGATTTCAAGATTTTTCATTTACTCTTCCAAAGGGAGAGTGCAATCTAAGTTCATATGCCTCTCATGTGACACTGCTAAAATCTATTCACTGTTGTAGAAGATGGAAAGAGAAGCATATCAAAATAATAAATTCTCTTCTTCAATATTATGCAAAAAGATAGAAGCAGATTATTTTATGTCTTTGATAGGTCGGGGTAATTTCTAACAGATAAACATTTTATAACCTCTAGAAAAGAGAAATGTTTCCTAGGCTTGGAAATATAAATCAGTTCATAGAAGTTCATTGTTCCTGTCTTAGTTTGCCTTCTGTTACTGACCAAAGGCAACTTGAAGACACTGAGTCCATTTCATGTTTTGCCTTGAAGGAAATTAAAGCAGGAATTTAAGGCAGAAACCTGGAGACAGGACCCCGAAGCAGAGGGTGAGGAGGACTGCTATTCACTGGCTTGCTCCTCATAGTGTGCTCAGCCTGCTTTTCATATAGCTCAGGATCACATGCCCAAGGACAGCACAGGACACAGTGGGTTGGTCCCTCCCACACTAATCATGAATCAAGAAATTGTCCCACAGGCCTGTCTAGGGGTTAGTCTTATCTCAACTGAAGTTCATTCTTCCCTAATGATTCTAGTTTCTGTCACATGACAAAAAAACTAGCAGCCACGATTCCTAGTAAATATGGTGGTTATCTTAAGTTATAGTGGTGCTGAAAGTTTAAAACAAGGTATGTATAAGGTCCCCAATGTTGACCTTAACAATGGGTTTTAAAAGGCAAACATGATTATTTTGTAGGGTTTGTGTCACTTCAAAAGACTAATGTGTTTGAGTATATGCTTAATCCATATTTTCAAGTTTTCCTCTGATTTATGTTTGTCCAGAGGTAGAAGATGAGGAGGATGAGGAGGATGAAGAAGATGAAGATGAAGAGGAGGAGGAAGATGAGGAAGACAAAGAAGCAGATACCTTGTATAAGGACTTTGACGGTGATACTGAGCTGCCAGGGTTTACTCTCCCTGGAATCACATCCCAGGAACCTGATATAGAGCCAGGAAGCATGGCCCTACTGGAGGTAGCAACTTACCAGGTGCCAGAAACCATGGAGTGGGAACAGCAGAATCAAGGTCTAGGTAAGAGTCCTTTGACTACCCCGCTCCTTTCCTAAGGTTTTATTTCTTTCACTGACATCTGTCAGAGAGAAACTAATCTCCTATGGTTATGGGTGTTTATTTGTGGAGAAATTATCAATGATTTCCTCCAGAAATTTTGATCTGTGTTTTTACATAACTGACTCCAATTCCGCAACTGCCCCTTACCAGTCTGGTTACTTGATGTTTTGGAAAGATCTCCATTTTTCCTCCCTAGCAGGAAGACTTCCAAATGGGAAGGAGAGATACATAGCAAGGGTTCTAAACATGCAGCTCACATGGATTGGAGGCAGGGAGTAAATGGATTTTTGTCACCTTCTGACCTGTCAGAATTTGTTCCCTAGAAGTTTTTGCCCTGGGTGAGCCATTTGGGAAGCTTTGGGCTTTTCATTGTAAACACAATCTCACTCAGCAGTCACATGTTCAGTCATGTGCCTCTTTTCTGTGAGTGGTCCATGTTGTTATTCATGACTCTGAGGTTGTGAGCTGGATCCTATCTCCACACCCTCTTTCCTGCCCTAGGGAAGCTTCCAAACCATCCCTTTCTTCTAATTGCAGGAAGATGCTATTGAGCCCAAGTAAGAGACTCACTCTTTTAATATGTGGTGAGTAATCTTTTCACCAAAGAAATCCTGTGTCTAAAATACCCTCAGTCTTTAACATCTGGGGCTAATATATAATATAAGAGTCATCTAGCTACCTCTGGAGGTATTTCTTTCAAAACTTGACTGTTGGTTTGGGATATTGCTCTCAATGTAGTTCTGGCCTTATCACTTTGTAGGCTGGCATAACAATTGTAGGGAATGTATAAATGAGATTTGTTATGTAGTATGCACATAATTAGGAGAAGTCAAAATGGAGAATGGCTCTCCAGTGTATAAACAGTGTAATTTTGCACATAGTGCTTACTGAATTATTTCCTGAACAAATACATCAGGTATTGGGCATTAATTACTTAAGATACATAATATAAGAACCAGGTGTGATAGCACATAGCTTTAATTCCAGTACTCAAAAAGTAGAGACAGGTGAATTCCCATCTATACTGTGAAGTTCAGGACAACTAGGGCTATATATTAATGGGTCCTCTCTCTCTCTCCCATATACATATAATATATAATATGTTAATACAAATTATTAGTAAATCATATTAATATATTAAGGGTGTGTTCTATAGGATGTTAAAAGCTTATAAAGATGGTAAAATATATCAAAATATAAAATAAACACAAAATGAACATTGATTTGCAAATAAATATTATTTTGAAATGTTTCTGACAAATGGGTTTATAATGTATGAAATAGAACACAAAGATATAAAGATAATTTGTTATCGAACATGTTAAAAACAAATACAACAATCTCTGCATGAAATGATACTTCATGTCAAGGCATTGTCATATGACAGTATCACATACAGTTAAATAGTTGTAATGGCTTGAATATGAATTGTGTCACACTGGCACACACTGGCACACACTGGCAGTGAGTGAACCCTCATGTCTAGGTGGTGGTGTGCTTTGTAGGTCATATGTGGTCGTAAGTCTCTCCCCTTACTCTGCTTCCTGTTTGACTTAATATGAATTCCTCCACCATGCTTTTCTGCCATGATGCTTAGATCCCCTGCCTCCCTTAATTTGTTTCTGTCACATATTCTGTCGTGGCAGTGAGATAAGTATCAAACACAAGTCTTTGTAGTGTGATAAGGATGAGTATTTAAGACTTCGCTGCTTTGCTGAGAGATGAGAGAAAGATTACCTTCCTATAGAAAGAAGCAGGCTCTTCAGGAATGGTGGTGTGTGAATTCCAGAACTCAGAAGGTGGAGGCAGGGAAGTTGCAAGTTTGAGGCAAGACTGGACTATATAGCCAGTTTGAGACCAGTCGACTCCACGGCTTATATCCCAAATCATAGCCCGTGGAAAAGAAATTAACAGACAAGCAGCACTAGGTAAGCATCTACCCATGGGTTGTAGTCAAGGAAATGAACTCTCCTCACTTAGGAAGTGAGTTTGCCCTGTAAGAGTTAGTACAAGCATCTGGAAGGACGGTGTATGTCCCTACATACAAATTTATTATGGAAAGGGGTCAAGCTTTTAAGAGATTATTTTATTGATTTACATATTACATATGTAAATTGTAATGTACAATTCAATGAAGTGGGGGTTTTAGTTTCTGGTTTAAAGTTTTTTGTTTTTGTTTTTTTACAAGGTCTCTGTAGGTAGCCCAGGCCACAGACTCATAGTTCTTCTGCCTCAGCTTCCCCAGTGCTGGGATAGCAGGTTTGTGTCACTGTTCCCAGATAGTTCAATGGGTTTGCAAGTTGTCACCCATGCTCCTCCTCCACAGTCAACATGCAGATAATTTCCATCATCCGACCAAGGCTCTTTGCCCCAAGGAACAACTGATCTACTTTTAAACTTACTCATTTACTTTCAATATATTATTTTTATTTGTGCTATTGTGTGTGTGCAGGCATGCCTGTGTGTGAGTATGCCATGTATGTACAGGTGCCCACCACAAAAGCTAGAAATCATTGAATCTCCTGGAGATGGGGCTACAGGTAGTTAGTTATAAGACATCTGATGTAGACTCTGTAAACTGAACTCTGGTCTTCTGAAAGATCAAGAAAATATTTTTAATGTTGAGCTATGTCTTTAGCTCCTTTAAACTTATTTAATGACTACGCTATAGCTATGGGACAGTGTTCCATGACAGTTAAGTACTATTTTATTTTAATTCTGGTTTCTTTCCCTTGGTGCAGTGACCTTGAGATCCAACTATGTAATATTCATCAGTATTTTTCCTTGTTATGGTGGCAGTAGTATTCTGTTGTGTGGTTGTGCCACATTTATTTAATAAGTCACCATTCATAAGCAAATGAGTTGATCCTAATTTTGTTTAATAACAATTGAAATAATAAGTTATATAAAGCATAAGGCTTATGACAAAAATCTCTTCTGTCCTTTATCCTTGTTCCATTGTCCAAGTACAACTTTAACATTTTATAAATTAGGGCCCCCAGACTGATAGCTGGTAATCCAGAATGGGACTGACTCAGACCTCCTGAACATGGGTCTCAGCTAGAAGGCCTGAACAGTCTAAGGAGGGGACCTCAGACAGTGGTACCAGGATGTATCCCTGATGCACAAAAGGACTTTGGGGACACATCCCCCATGGAGGGATACTCTCTTAACCTAGAGACAGGAGAGAAGGCCTAATCCCTACTTCGAATGACTTGACAAATTTAGATGACCCCTCCTGGAAGGCATTGCCCAACATGTGGAGTAGGGGGATGAGAGAAGATGGGGGTTGGGGGACATGAGAGAGTGGTAGAGAGGGAAAGAGGGAGGAAGGGAGAAGGAACAGGGATTGATAAGTAAAATAAAAATAAAATAAAATAAAATAAAATAAAAAATCAATTAAAAAAGATTTCATAAATTAGTAGTGCCCACTTAGTTCAGTTAGCTTAAAAAATTTATATTATATATATATATATATATATATGTATGTATGTGTGTGTGTGTGTGTGTGTGTGTGTGTAAGTGTGTGTGTGTGTAAGTGTGAACCACCACAGCCCACATGTAAAGGTCAGGGAACAACTTGTGGGAGTTGGTTCTTTCTTTTCACCATGTGGGTTTTGGGGATCAAACATAGGTCACTGGGCTTGAAAACAAGTGACTTTGTGTACTAAGCTACTCTGACAGCCTGATTTGTTAGCTTTTATTTGATTTCCTTTGTCCTGAGCATTTCCTTAAAGATTTATTTTATTTTTAATCATGGTTATGGGTGTGTATCTGGGGTAGGGGTATATGCACATGAGTACAGATACCCATGGAAGCCAGAAGAGATTATTGAATTCCCTGGAGCTGGAGTTACAGGCAGTTATAAGCTGTCCAGAGTGGGTACAGGCAACCAAAAAAGTCCTCTGGAAGAGCAGCAAATGTTCTTAACCACTGAACCATCTCTCTTGTCCTTTGATTTTTTTTTAAGTTGGTGTTTTTTCTTATTATAGTAGCTTACTATATTTCTAGATATCTCTTATGTTTTATCATCATTGTTTTTCCAGTAAGTTCACTTCATCAAACTGCTGTTAGCATTTCAGAGTTTGTGAAAGCTCAAATGAGGAATGACTCCTTAAAGCTGGTTTTCCTCCCACTGAGGAAAGATTGTGATTGAATACTGTCTGAGAGTAAAATTCTACTAGCCCAACTTTTTGCTGAATTGTCTCTTTACAACTTTAAATTAATGGTGGGGGATTATTAATTGATCCTATGTCCTAAATACCTTCAGGTTATATTCTTTCTTCTGGTACTTTTTGTAATTGGTAGAATAATGACTTCCCAAAGAAGTGTGTGACAAATCTCCAAAGGTTTCAGATATTTTACTTTATGTGGAAAAGGAAAGTATCTTGAGATTGGAGTAGGGATATTAATCTGGAGAGGAGTGGTCCAAGTGTAGTCATATGTGTAACATATTGGGGGCTTAACTCAGTTGGTAGAGTGCTTGCTATCATGGAGGAAAAGTCCAAGGTTTGATCTTATCACTGCATAAACTGGGCATAATGATACACGCCTGCAATCCCAACATTTTGAAAGAAGAAGCAGGAGGACCAGTAGCTCAAAGACATCATAGGCTATATACAGAGTTTGAGGCCAGTCTGAGTTACATGTGACCCTGTCCAAACAACAACTACAATATAGGAAAACTCCCATTCTTCCACAGATTATCAATCAGAGGAAAGAAACTCAGAGTTTAAGAGTCAAAGAAGGAGAGGTGATTATGAAGGCAAATGTTGGAATAATGTGACTTCAAGGGAAGGAATGCCTGAAACCCCTAGAACAATGAGTGGCTTTCAATCTTCTTAATGTTGCAAGCCTTAACACAGTTCCTCATGTTATGGGACTCCCAACCATAAAATTATTTCATTGCTACTTCATAACTGCAATTTTGCTACTCTTATGCATTATACTGTAAATAGCTG